CCTCAGCTGCACAGGCAGGTGGACAGGGCAGTATCTCACAGTAACAATTCTCATGGAAGAGCTGGCTCCAGCCACAGGCTAAGAGGTTGAGATTTAGCTCTGTATCATGCCATGGGCAGGGAAGGGGACACACCCTGCAAAGAGTAAAAAAGAATATATGTTTACGAAGAGCATACAGGTCCTGTTGCTGGGGAGCAGCTCTTAAAGGACTCTGTCCCAGGTCAAGAGGTCAAGTGGCCCATGGGGACTGATGGTCTAGTGCTGGTCTAGGACCATGATAAAGTTCAGACAGCAGGAGGTGACCAGGTGCTACGAACCGGTCGTGGTCCTTGTTCAAGATGCACGTGCCACACACCTCTTGCATCGGTGCTGCAAGAAAGCAGAGAACAAAGCAGTAGGTGCGTGAGCACCACACACAGCATGAGCCATGAGTGCCATCAGATGAGCCACGATGCTGAGAAAAGGGCTCCCCAGTGCTGAGCACCGAGGAGCCAGGCCAGCTAGGAACTGTGTATGTGCACTGCCCCAGGCTGCAGCCACTTCTGAAGGCTGGAGCATGTCTTTCGGAAACACTATACTATGTTTGTGAGCTGTTCTGTGTTCTTGGAGTAAAAGTAAGCTCTGTAGTCAGATCCTCAACATGTTGCTAAAGCAGAATTCCCCTGTGGGGGTCAGAGGCTGAAGCAGTGACACCAAGGAGCCTGTCACACTACATACAGGTGGCTCCCTGTTCCCCTGACTCACCTTCCAGATACTGCCAATGCTTCTGCACACACATGCACATCCAGGCATGGATACATGCACAGAAACGTGCGGTATGCATGCCTTGTGCAAGCTTGGACTCCTCTTTCTACAGTCCAGATTATGAAGTGACCCAAGGTCATGAATACAGCAGTGCAGGACTCTGCCCAGGCTATCCTCCTCAGGGTTGCATCTTTCTCTTGCTGATGCATCTACCCCCAAAATAATACCCTGGAATACCCTAGTGACCCAAGTGTCCATGTGCACGCACAAGTGTGCAAGTAGATACGTTTGTGTGTCCTTGTGTGTGTGCAAGAGTACATCCATTCCTAAATGTGTCTTCACAAGTTTTGTGTATGCACAAGCAGACATGAGGCTCTATGTGCAGATAAACATGTATGTACTACTATGTGAGCAAAAATGCAAGTATGAAAATGAGTGTAAGGGCGAATGTGTATGTGCATGTATGTGCATCAAATGTCTGAAGTGTGTGAGTGTGCATTAATCTGTGTTTGTGTTTCCATGTGCATATGCATGGATGTAAAGATCACAGTGAGCTTGAGTGTATGTGTAGATGTATTTTGGGGGATGTGTGAGTGGGTATATAGGACTGTGGGTGTGTCTACACACAAACACAAGTGTGTAAGTGGGATAATACGGCAGGATGCACATGAAGCATTTGTGTAGGTGCTTGCATGGGAGTGGGTGAGTATGCTCCTGAGTGGGCATGTGTGTTTGCATGTGAGGGTGAACAGAGGAGGGGCAGCTGTGACTCATATCCCCAGACACAGTAGAACAGTGGCCTATAGAGGCAAGGTTCTTTCCTTGTCTCATTCAGCTCCTAAGATGAAGACAAGAGCCCACAGCTGTGAGAACAGTCTCCCTACCCCAAACCCTGCTCTTCCTATCCATTCTGAGGCCTGGGTCCCACTCCTGCAACCTCCTAGGGTGCAAGTCCTGGCTTTGTAGGGGCCTACCAGGCAAGATGAAGGCACAAAGCCCCAGGCTCAGGGACACCACCCCACCACAGCCACAGGACCCTTCTGGCCACACTCTGTTTGAGCCATTGCAGAGTGTCCTGTCATTCACATCTGAGGAGTTCCTTTCCATGTGTGATCTCAACCCATCAAAAGCACCTCACTCCAAAGAAACAGTTCTGGTTCACAAAGCTAGAGACATGCTAGCAGATCACTCGCTTCAAACATCTGACTACAGTGGCAACATCCATGTCACTGATTCCAGATGGCTGACAGGACAGGGAACTCCTGCCAGACATGGCCCACACATGGTACCCAGAAAACACAGCTGTCCTGTGACACTGTAGGAATAATTGCTGCACCCATTGACAGTGGGAGAAACCGAGGCACAAAGCTCCTCATGCACTCACAGCCACCTGCGCACCCAAGGAATGCAGCCCTTACCCCCGAGACGTCAGAGATGTTACAGGAAAGAGGGTGCAGCTGAAGTCATCAGAGCCCCAGAGGGTGGTGCCCACAGCTTGCTAATACACAGAAACAAGAGCATACATATTCCTTAGCAACCTGATTTCCACCACAGGCAACCTAGGGTTAAGAACCAACAAAAACTGAAGTCCATTTCCTCTACTCTGATAGGCATCCAAGTTGAAAACACATGATGTACACAATTTCAATAGACCTGGGCTACTTCAAACAGAAAATAATAATAACAATAACAGTAATACAGACTCATCTGGGGCAAAAAGCAAGCACACGAAGGCAATGAAGAGCACGGGGTGAAGCTCAGAGCCAGTGGACACAGGCCCTGTCTGTCTCCTCTTTCCCAGCCTCAGGAAAGGAAGGGCAGGAGACACCTGTGGGTAGAGGCCTTGCGTTAGTGGCTACACCAGCCCAGGACCACTTTTCCCAAGAACCCCCTCCCCGCAGTAGCATTCCAAGAGAGTGACCTGCTCTCCTGCCATTCTTCCCCAAGGCTCTCGGAACCTCCCTGAAGATGGGCAATGGTTCTGCAAGGGACTTGCTCCCCTACATGGGATAGAGTCTAGAGCCCAATCCTTCGTGTGCTTTGGGCCTCTACCCTTGACAGGAAGCTGAGCCTGTAGGTCTGAGATGGGGGTGCACACCTACCTGACTCTGGAGATTTCATGGGACTCAGCCCCCCAAGACTCCCATGGAGACCTGACACCCTAAATCAGCATCCCCTGTGTGCCAGCAAGGGCTACCCTGCAGGCTTTCCTCGGTGACTCATTCTCTCAGATTCTTCTATAACTGCCCAGTGCCTTCTTCTCTCTCCCTTACCACCTGCCTAGAATCAGGAGGCAAGGAGGCAGCGCCATCAGCAGAAGGCTGTGCAGCAGAGGTGACAGGGTCTGAAAGGTGGTGGCAGTAAGGCACCGAGGTGCACCAACACCCCCTAAAGCAAGTGCCACCTTCTTCAGGCATCTCAAACACTAAGAGGCAGACTGCAAACCCTGACAGACTGCAGGGTGCCTCGAATTTTGTGATGGGAAGACATCTGAAATCCTTGGGGACTATAGGTTTCCCTACCTTGATCCCCATTTAGGTATCAATATGGAACTTGAATACAAATAGTGTAGAGGATAAAAGGCTTTAGAAATGGCAGAATATTTTCAGTACATGCTTTCCTTATGGACTTTTTAACCTTCACTGTCTCAGTGGGAAGTATCGTCTTCCCCTGAGGGTAGGGGCATGGCTGAGTTTCAGTGAGGAAGGGATTGACATCAAATTGGAGGCTAGTCACAGGGAAACCTTAGCTCCCTAAGAATCCTTGTTTCCACTATGAGCTTCCTCCCCCAACTGGAGTAACAAGGGTTCCTCTATCCTAGAGGGAGTGGCGCTGACACCTTTGCAGACTCCTCCCTCTTTCCTTTTAAATCTTTTCTCTAAAGGGAATGCCTGGAGGCTATGCAGGGGGAAAAATAACCAGTTTAAAAAGATAACATCACAGCCTTTTAAGGCACCTAGAGAACCCACCAAGGACCTGAGCCCATGTTTCTCACTAGCCTGACAATGCATGCTCAGCATTAGACCTGTCATCATGGCCCCTGTGACATGTACTGCTACTCCCTGACATCAGATTCTGGGTGTGAGTGTCCATCCTATAGTCAGCAGGTACACCTCTGCCTCTCTGTCTCTCTGTCTCTCTGCCTCTCTGTCTCTCTGTCTCTCTCTCTCTCTCTCTCACACACACACACATACACATATTATCCTCCCCCAATTTGGATTCGAGGCCCAGCCCAGCCCCCCACAACTTCCCATGTGCTCCCAAGGTTACCTCCTTTCCTTATATGGGCTCCCCAACCTATCTGTCTCTCATCTTCCTCGTGCTATTCTGTAGCTAGACCTAGAAACAAAACCCTCCCTCAGCTGCCAAGCCTGAGCAGGGCCAGTGCAGGGGAAGGTCCCAAACTCCTGGGAACAGTCTCCTGGTCCACCCCACACCTACTTGGGTTCGGTGGTCTGGGAGAACAGGTACCTCCAGAGTCCAGGAGGGCTCTCAAGAGGAGTAAAATCCTCTGCCCTTGTCCCAGCAGCCACCTCACCCGCCCAAGTTGAAAGAGACCAAGTCCCACCCAGTCTTTGTAGAGCCAGGGTCAGGGCTTCTGGGAGCAGAGGCTGTGAAGCCCAGATTGTGAGTGACCTTGGCAAATTCCTCTCCTTCAGGGCAGGAGTCGGGTTCTCAGCAGGGTAGTTAGAGATGTTGGAAGAGTTCAGAGTCCATTTCTCTCCCACTAACTGCTCTCACGGGTCTGTGGAATTGAGAAGCAAGCCCCAGACGCACGCACTCTAGGCGAGCTGGAGAGGAGCCCAGGGGCTGTGCGCTCAGCCAGCCTAGAAGCCTGGCCCTGAGACCCGGCACCCTCCCACTTTTCATTCCTCTATGGAGATGGGTGCAACCCAAAACAGTGGACCTGGCTTGGGTCCCCACTTGACCACACAACTACTGCCTGACCTTGGGCCTGCCACTAACATCATGCACCCCCCCCTCCCCAACACACACACTCACACCAGTCTGGCGTCTCCACCCTAAAGACGCTGTGGACTCTTACCGCTAAAGAAACCCCGGGTGGTGGGTGCTAACACTGACTGAATTCTCAGCTAGCTGAGTGACCTTGAACACCCGTACCTCTCTTCAGAACCTCAGTTTCCCCCACCTTCCCCAGAGGAAGAAGAATGTTAAACTCCTGGCACCACCAGTCCCGCTGGCAGGTGTGTCTCCAACCCAATGGGGGGTGGGGGGACACGCGTGATGGCACTTACCGTCCTCCAGAGACGTGGGCGCTTGGCAGGGACCAAGGCGGCTGTGACCAGTAAGTGAGAGGCAGCCACCACCAGCCCGAAGCCGATGGCCAGTAGGCTGCGCACGGGCAGCAAGGCATAGGACACGAAGGTGACCAAAAGGAGTTGCCAAACCCCCTGCTCAGCAACCGCGGATCCCACTGCGCCTCCAACGGAGCCCCTCGCCGGGCCACCCAGCGCGAAGGGGCAGCAGAGTAGCGCGAAGGTGAGGCTGAAGAACAGCGCCAGCTGACCGACCTGCTGCAGCTGGGGCACCTGCAGGGATCGGACATTGGTGACCACGAACAGTGCCAGGAAGAGGATGCAGTGCACCGGGTGAGATCCCTTGGCGATGCCGGGCGCGGGTCCCGGCGCGCCCAGCAGTTCGGCCAGCGCCAGGGAACCCGCCAACAGGCTAAGCACCGCCAGCGCCTTCAGCGTGGCCGCTTGCTCCAGCCGCAGCGTGTAGCCGCGGAACAGCGCCTCCAGCTCGGGGCACGCGAACTCCTCGCCACACGCCCGGAGCCCGCGCCGACCGCCCGGCCCGGCCGCCCGCTCTGCGCCCCCGGGCTCGCCCGCGCCTCCGCCGCCGCCTTGGCCGCGCGGCGCCCCCGCCATCTCAGCGCCATGCAGCGGCCGCGGCCACGGGCGCGCCCCTCGCCGGCCCGGGGCGCCGGGGCGCGGGCGGCGGCGCCGGGGCGGGCGGGCGGCGGGCGGCGAGGCGCCGGGGCGCGGGGCGGGCGGAGTTGGGGCGCCGGCTGCCCAGCGCGCGCGCCCCGAGCGCGTCCCCTCCCGCCCGCCGCGCCTGCGCACTGTCGCCCGCCCGCGCCCCGGCAGTGGTCCTTCGCGGCGACCGCGCTGAGACAGGCGAGCCCCACGAACCCCAGTCCTGGGCGGGCAGAGTCCGCGCCCAACTCTGCGCCCCACGCCTCACACGCCCAAGGGGCCACGTGACCTTGGGTACGGTTCTTGCCACTCCGAGCCTCGATTTCCCCACCTATGCACAGCGGAGCCCACCCTCCCAACCCCAGGAGTCTATTGAGGCGTTAAAAAAGCCGAAATTCCCAGTAGAGGGAGGAACAGCCCTGCCAGATGTGTGTTCCCCTCCCCATACAGAACCAGGTCGCGCTAGAGGAGCCCTCACTCAGCTTGAGACTCAGTCAGTGCCCACCGAAGAGCTCCAAGGATCCCTGGTCACACATGAAGGATGCTCTAAGTGACTGGTTTGCCCACCTCCTGGGTGGGTGGTGGAAGCTTCTGTATGTTGACCTAAACAAGAATAGAGTCCTAAAACGTCCAGGGAAGCTGTGCGGTCTAGGTGCAGGGTGTGTGAGCGCTGAAAGGAGAGATACAAAAGCGTGGCAGTCTCCCTGAATAGGAGCTGGTCATGCAAATAATGGCAAGACGTTTTCTTCCAGCGGAACAAGTGGCAGAGACAGATCCGTGGGCGATGCTTGATGTTTGCACCTAGTGACATCCATTCACTAATGAAGGGACCATACAGAATTTCATTCGGTGCTTAGGATGGCCCCCTGAGGTCTCTTTCCTCGGTTCCCCTTTAGAGAGGGTCCCAGACGATCCAGAGAGGAGAAAGAATGCAGAGCTCTTGCCACCTCTGGATCCCATGGGTGCACCAGGAGCTATGTCTCTCACGAAACTTTGCGACCCAGACGCTGTTGCACCTACTTCCAAATGTGCAGTTTCAATCTATCCTGCCCAAACTCTATTCTGGTTCAGAAGACCCTGGGGATTCGGAGGGTAAGAACCACTGCCCTCTTACTATATAGGTGCACGGATTAGAATTTGAGCTGTTCGGGTTTTCTCTGGAATTAGTATTAGTTTGAGCTACATGAACTTGACATTTTTACATGTCCCCATCCAACATCTCCAATAGTTCACAATCAAGGTCTTCTGGAACTACTTGATAACCAGCTAATCCCTCTTCTTTGAGCAGACTCCCCAGCAAGACCCCCAGTGCAGAGCTTGCCTGGTGGCAGCCTGCACCCAGACTAATTGTTTTCACCCCAGGTCTTGCTCCTCCCATGAAGGTTCACACCTACTGTTCTGCAGCCTCATTTTCTGGTCATTTTTCTCTCGGTGTTCTTTTGGCTGAAATCCATGGAGAGCATCAGCTGATGCTGAGAAGATGGTTTGGCTCCATCCTTAGGTCACTGCCTTGAAAAGCACCATTGTTATCACCTGATTCCCAATTGTCTCTAAATACTAGTAAAGCCTGCACGAATTTCTGAAATACCTGCATCAGGAAGAATCTCTTGTTACTTAGTGTTGTATGGTTTCATATCCTAATGATTTTATTAAAGCAAACCTGAGCAATATCCAAAAGCGTTCTTATATATGAAAATGAAAGACATATGGTGAAGTCATTTTAAATGCAAAGTTCATAAGTAAACTATACCTGCTTGCTTCTGTGTTGACTTGCAATTCTTCCTTCAGTCCAAAAAAAAAAAAAAAAAAAAAAAAAGTTTTTTTGGTAGAGCCAGTATCAACTGCTTTTAAGAAAACCTGGAGGAACCTATATTTAAGTTTGGAAAGAAGGTAGGTCACGGCATGACCCTTTTGCTCGCTGCCACATCTGACTATCTTCTAATGTCTGTCCATCATACCTTATGTCTGTCCGGCATAGAAAACAGCCTTTGTCACCTTTGTTTTGTTGGAGAACCAGACTCAGAAATGCTCACTGTCTAGAGGGAGCATGGGGCTCCTCACTTGATGCACTTCTGAGGTTGCAAAACCTTACAGGGCACAAGACTCCATAATTGCTGTTGTCAGTATGGGCTTGTACACTGATGTGCTCTCACACTATGTGCCAGGCTGGAAGAAGGGCTTCAATGCACAGTGTACAGCCACGGACAAACAGGGAAGTTATACGTAATACAGTGGGAGCAGGGGTGGTGTATACCTCCCATGAGACTGTCCTTAACAAAGGAGGACATCTGGGCAGATTCATACACAGAGAGAACTATGAATGGCACTGTCACAAAGCCAGGGATCTATTAGAGTGTACAAATCTTCCCTGGCAGGGTCACAAAGTGTAATTCTAATCTCCTGTGGGGTATCTGCCACACTCCAAAAGATGTCAACTACCTAGAGGGGCAGTATGGCTAGCCATAGGTTTGTATATATGTCTGAGAGACTGGAATCTTAGTCACTTCCCAGTCACTACTTGTCTCTCTTCTCTGTCATCTATCCTATTCTCTCTCTCTAATAAAGAACTAAATTTTAAAACTCACAATGCACTTTGAGTGCTTTTGTCCAATGGGTGGGTTTAGAGTCTTCTCTTCCATCCATATAAAAGAATGGCACTGGTCACCCTCTGCTGTTCACTCTTATAGAAACTCCCTATATGTTTTGTATCGATACTTCAAGACTGTGTAGGATAGAGTGGGCCTGGCCTGAAGCCTCAGCCCATCTGACCCAATCCCACCTCATGTCTACCCTAGCAATCATGAGACATCATGGCTAAAAGTGTGAATGCCTGCATCACAGGACTGAACTAACATCTTGGGGACACCCATGCCAGCTACAGGACTTAAAACTAGCTACTCCTCCTGCCTGGATTCTGACTGTGAATTGTGGGTTTAATCCTAGCAAAATGTGGGAAGAGGGAACCACAGACACACCAGTCACCCTCCTTGTGCGTAAAATAAGGGTGATTTTGCTCCACCGATTCAGTGCTCTATATACACACAAGTATTCAGATTCAGTCATCAAGACAGTGGCCCTCGTAGCCAGAGAACTCGCATGGTCCTGCTTTAACTCACTGATTTCCACTGATTGCAGCTAGAGATCCAAATTTAGAAAAATGTGTAGTATAGTTTATTCCCACTCCATATTTGGAGACCAAGTTTCCCCATGAACCTGTAGGGAGATTAGTGTCTACTTTAATTGCCTTTGATCCACTGCCAACATGAGAGAAGTTGCCAGCTCTGTGACTATAGGATGCTCAGTAAAGTTAATGTTGCCATGCTAATGTTTAAGTGATCAAATGCACACACGAAGGGCTCAGACTAGTGGAGCAATCAAAGCACTTGACATGCTAGGCTCAGCCTTGAGCAAGCTGATCCCTGCTGTGGGTCCAATATGGTTTGTCTTCACCTAAACTCCTGTTGGGACTTAATTAGTCCATGTAGCAGCATTCAGAGGCGGGCTGTGGGGGGAGGTGTATGAGCCATGAGCTGAAGATTTCATAAGTGGACTGACTGTAGGGACAGTTAGCATTTCTGTCCCCTTTCCCAGCCCCCTGCACCCTCACCTGCTTCTTCTAGAAAGCTTAACAGGGTCTGGCATTGTGTTCTTAGATTCCCAGCTTTCAGAACTGTGAGGCAAACAATCTTTTTCTTTATAAAGTCACCTTCCTTGGGCATTCTGTTATAGCAACAAAAAACGGTCTAGGACAGGTCCTGACTTGCTACTCCATCCCATTTCCCCCAGCTCCATCTGACACACTCACCCTGTCCCTGCCCTTCTTGATGTTTCCTGAGTGCTTCCTTGGAGCATCAGGGCACAGGGAGGGGATTTCTACTTCACTTGACAACCATCAGAAACCATCTCGTGCATCTGCTTTGGACTCTTCCCTTCAAAAGGGCAAAAGGCCTTAGGCTGCCTTAATCCAAAACAGAAAAGGTCTGGGGTGGTCACAGCTGTGTCCATTCCAGAGCTCTGCAGCCTAGAAATGCTACAGATGGGGCTTCCAGGGCCATCTGCCAGGCTTGCACATGAGAACCACATAAGCAGGTGGGAGGCACGGACTCTTATTTCTTCGAGGCTGGGGACAGTGCCCAGACAGCTGGGACTGCAAATGAAGTGATCCAGCACTCCAGGCAGGGCAGCAGCTGAGCAAGGAGGCATGGGTAACAAGCAGCAGACTCAGGGAGCACAGCAGGCAAGATCTGGGCTCATTGGCTCGGCCACTCCAAGCATCAATGTCTTGTGGGGTTCCCTGTGGCACTGAAAGAGAGGAGAGCAGCTGTTAGACAGTCAGGTTTTATGTTGTCTTTAGCATATCCCTAGAACTTGGCATCTATTTCATAAACCTCCATGGGAGACACCTATTCACTGTGGTAGGGCCAACTTCAGACCAAAGAAACAACAGTCTCACACAAACTCCTGTTGGTAAGCCAGTGGATGTATTGGGCTTATACAGCGGGTGAGCCCACACTGCGAAGTCTCACCTAGCATAGAAAATTTTCCCATAGCTTCAATGAATGCAGTCCCCACTTCAGGTAACCTCCATCCTCTCTGTACCCAAGCCCAAGACAGCTACAGCTAAGACACAGCTGCATACAGCTGGAAGGAAGTGTAGAAGGAGTGGTAAAAACTCGGGCGAGGGTCTAATGCCCCCTCCATCCCTTCCTTCTATACAGGAACACTGACAGACCCTTATCTTAAGGGTCTCTTGAGGGCTGTTATGATCAGAGGCCTAAGATCCACACCATCCTAGGATCCACTGGACACACCATCCCTTCACAGACTTACCATTCTTTGCCTAAGAAGTTTAAAATCATCATATTTTGATCACTTCCTTAGATTTTAGTTTAGTGATAGTCCTATGTACATAAAGATTTCACAAATGTGTATTGTTTTTCATTGTTCCTAAATACAGCCAAGGAGTCCAGGAAGAGCTAAA